GGACTATCGAATCTTTATTGATGACGTGTATCATCTTAATTAGAAGTAATATTCAAATTTTCAGAAGTATTTATAATTTTAAAACAAAACTTATATTATTATTATTATTTTATTTTTTTGTAAAAATTCCCCTTATATATGATTCACGAATGCGTTGAGCATAAGTAACAGACTTGCACGTTTCGGAATCTTATGTGTCAAAATTTTAAGTTTTGTTGTTTGGCTTGAATGAATTTTAATTTATTTCCAATCCAAAAGTAAATAGGCTTGGAACATTCATAGATATACTGATATTTATGATCCTTTTTTAATAACATTAATTATGTTTTAACACCATTTCTTATTGTAGACGTGGTTATAAGGTATAATTTTTTTCTCAATCTTTTTTTTTTTCCTCATCTTTCTTTTAATTTATACCAAATTTATTAACTGAAATTATAAGCATATTTAAAAGTTAATAATTTATTATTTATTAACAATCTTTATTTATAATATATCAAATTAATCGTGTCTAGATGAACTTTGATTTAACATCTATATTATACATACAAAATAATTATATATATAATTATATTTAAATTACCTATTAATATTAGTTCGAAAAATATAACTGTTTAAACTAACTTAACCAGCAAATGGTTATCTGACATAAATTAAAAAATTATATAATATAAGATGGTAAGTCGTGTAAATGACAGTATCAATTTAAATATAAATAATATTATATTATACAGAAAAGTATTTAACAATAGTTGTTGTTATTATTTAATTTTGAATACAATTTTCTTAACAAGTATTGTACTTTTAATTCATTACATCTAAACTTGATTGTTTTTATTATTTTATTTTATTTTTAGTTTAATAGTACTGGAGGGGAAAATATTAAAATAACACCTTAAGATATGTCCGAACATTTTAAAATCTTTGTTAAGAACCAGACAATAAAAATTCGTGTTCAGCCAAGTCAACGCAGGTGGGCATCGACTCTGATGAATGGGGAATCTGAAAGAGATGATGAGATCGGAGACGGCGACCCTCGTCCTGGTCAATCTCGCCGGAATCATGGAGCGGGCCGACGAGTCCCTGCTGCCGGGGGTCTATAAGGAGGTCGGCGCCGCCCTCCACGCCGACCCCACTCGCCTCGGCTCCCTCACCCTCTTCAGATCAATCGTCCAGTCCTCCTGCTACCCGCTCGCCGCCTACCTCGCCGTCCGCCACAATCGGGCCCATGTCATCGCCGCCGGCGCCTTCCTCTGGGCCGCCGCCACATTCCTCGTCGCCTTCTCCTCAACCTTCGCCGAGGTCAAACCAATAATCTTCTCTTTTTTCAATTTACACATTATCCAGCATTTGTATTTACCATGAACTTAATTTAATTTAATATTCGTTTTGTTCTCTGATTAAGTTGGGAGTGTAATTTTTATTTGCTTAACTTATACATTGAACTGATAAATTAGAGAAAAAACGCGTAGGATAAAATTCATATTCTTTAATCTGAATGAAATAAAAAATAGGTGAAATAAAATTAATTGAAGATTCATGAATCTTTAATCTAAAATGATATGATATAAATTAATAATAATAACTAATATATATATAGATATATAATTGTAGGCTATCAATTTAATGTTATTTTTCCTGTTTTTTCAGAGAAAGTGACCATTGCATTTTACATTAGTTAAATATAATAATTTTTGTAACTTATTTATCATACAATAATTACTACTAATATTAACTAATTATAAATTCATGCAAAAAAATTATGAAAGTTATACAATTAATTTTATAGCTAATTTTTTTCTTCAAGTTATTTATTTTAAAATAACTATTAAATTTTAATTTAATCTTATTAAGTTTTTTGAATAGCTAATTGATTTTAACAAATTAAACCCCTTAAAATCGTATAAACAATTCCTTTATATTAATTACTAGTGAGAATCCCGTGCGATGCACGAGGATTTTGTAACAAAATTTTTTTTGTAAAACTTTATTGTAACAATGTATTAGCCCGTTAATCCGTTTATATTAATATAAATAACATTTTCACATATATTTATTTTTAATACAAAAAAATCACATATTTTGGTTCATGATAATATTCAAATATTATTTTATTTACAAATTTATTGTCGTATAATGTCAATATTATTTATAACATTTATAGAAATAATATTATTTTTTATATAATAATAAATACTTAATGTATAATAATATTATTTATTTATTGTGATTAATTAAAAATATATAAGTAAATCTAATGTTTGTTAAGAATGTGATAGATCTCGATATTTTTAGGTACAAATATATAATATATATGTACATCCCCTATATATAATTCCCGAATGCGCTGAACCTACGTGGCTGCTTCTGGTGCTTCGGAATCCTACTTGGCGAAGAATAATGCTTCGTAATTAGGTTTGGACAAATAATATTGATATATTAATAATTAATAATCTAGGTTTGGACATTCCATAAATATATTTAGTTAACTTAGGTATTTTAATATCACTTGTACTAATATAACCCTTTAATTTTTTGTAATTTTACTTAGTGAGGCACTAAGCGACTAATATATCCCTGACTTTTGATTTGTTTCCTACAACTAACTATTGAATTGTAAATGAATTTTAAAAATTGATAACTTTTTTATTTCTTATCGGTTTTACATATATAATATATCAAATTAATCATCTTTTGATTATCTTCGATTTGACATACATATTGTATATATGAAATAAATAAATTATATTAATCTTTATAATAATAAAAAATAATAATATTTACTAAAATTCATTAGAAAAATAAAATTATTTCTCAACTGATATATTTATGTTTAATGTAGTTATATGTTGTAAGTTAAAAAATTATTATAATATAACACATGTAAGTCGCACAAATAAAAAGTGTCATACTAAATATATAATAATACATATATTTTTATAAAAGGTATTTAAATTTTCAACTACTTTTTCTCATTAATTTTAGATTTTAAGAAAAAAAATTAGCAAGCACCCGTGTAATACACGGACATTGTACTAATATATATGATATGAATATCTTGAGATACACAAGAAATTTTTATGTGATTTATTACCTTAATAAATCAGCCGCAATTACCTAAATTGTACTTTTAAAACATACCATAAAGTGTTTAAATAGTTTTCAGAATTAATAAATATTTTTTTGGCGGGAAATAGTTATTATTTAAAAAATAATCAAACATTTTTATTTATATATAGATATAATATTTTTTCCAACTAATTAATTGGTGAAGATCCTAAATTTATAATGATATTATTCCTTAAATTTTATGTCATTTTTAGTGATTCCTATGTAAGTAAAATAGTATAATTACATTGTTCACTTTTACTAATGATGAAATATATAAAATGTAACATATATGCTATATATTTTATGATTATAAATATAATATTCATACATATAATTTATAATACTTTGTTTGCATATGTGCATATACACAGGATTACCTACTAGTTATAATGTGATTTGAGATAGCAAAGTAATGAATGACTAGCAGAGGCTAACTAGCTATCGAGTTATCGAGTACTGGTTAAAAAAATTGTACTTAAAAAACACAAAAATAAAATTAAAAGTCTTTATTGTAAAATTTCAATTATTTAAAAATTTGTATTATATTTATAAAGATTATTAGATTTTATAATCAGGGAAAGAGGGTGCGGTGCGGCTCCACATATGTGAAACGCACTATAAGAGGGTGAACTTAGGTGCACCATAAAAGGGTGAGCCTAGGTGCACAAATCAATTGGTAATGAGAGGAGTAGCCCATTAGACTTATAAGCTAGGCTCATTTATCCTACAGAAGCAATGTGGGACAACTCACAAGTGATATGGCAACACGCTCCTCACTTGTGAGTCCTTCTCTAACCGTCCCAGAGCAGGCTCGGTTAGTTCATCACAGGTCTAGATCAGACCTACTCTAATACCATATTAGATTATTATAATCAGATGAAAAGGTGCGGTCCCACATAGGTCAAATGCACCGTAAGATGATGAGTCTAGGTGCGCTGTAGTGAGGTTTCATCTCAAAACCAATTGGTGGTGTGAGGAGTAGTCCACTAGCCTTATAAGCTAGACTCATTTACCCTACAGAAGCAATGTAAGATAACTCACAAGTGTATTCCAACAAAGATAGATATCATGTTTTTTTGTTATTTTATACATGCAATATGCATTCCAAATCGAACATCCTCTTTTGAAGATTAATTCGATAGATTATATATGAAAAGTTGATAACAAATTAAAAAGTTATTAGGATTTAAAATATATTTTATAATTTCAGTTGACTAAGTGTTTTATAATTTTAAAATTCACATGAATAAAATTCCAAGTCTATGTGGATCACTCGAAAGTCGAAACCACCCGAATTTGACTAATATTATATGAAAGCACGAGAAATCGATAGGCCCGTGAAACTCACATTTATGGTAATAGTATTACACTAGTTTATAACTGAATGCCTATAGCTTATGTGTGTGATGATTGAAAAGTTAGCTGATATACTGAAAATGATATTTTGAAAGTGTTTCGTAAAATTAGTTGATAAGTGAAATAAAAATTTGAACGGGCTTTTTGAAAAGCTACATAATATGAGATAAAATCTAACTTTTTAAAAAAACTCCTTCAAACCAAGTTTATTTAAATACAAAAGACATAAGGTAACTAATGGTGGTTACCAAGCCAAACAGATAGATTATTGGAAGCAAGTAAATAGTAAAATTATAGATAAACGCACTGCTTGCGCCCGCTGGATCGAAGCACGGCAGGAGTACCGGACAGTACACAGCCACAGGTTCACCCCAACCAGCTGCCACCAGCGAACACCAATGTAGCATCGACCACCAGCAACCTATTTAGGCGATCATACGACAGTTATTTCTGTGTGCCGACGCCATTTTTCAACTATCCGTGATGTAGGACCCTTTTCGACCGTATTTGCACAGCATCTGACAGAATAAATTCATTAAGTCAAAGTTAATTGACCAACTCAGTTTCTAAGATCTCTTCAAGAATACTAGATTCGGAGTTTCTTGATTGTAGACCAAGTCAAGCTTTGCACTAACTAGGAAAAATGAGTTATCATTCTCTGTCTTAGTGTGTTCTCAAATGCCTAACTTCTTCTGATTCTGTTTCATAAGTGCCATGGTTGCTACAGATTCTTTTACTCTTTGTACTTGTGGTTAATAAGCTCTTTTTTTTTTGGTGCAAAGGGTTAATAAGCTCTTTCACAACTTATTCGACCTATAGCTTGGAAATTTTTTGTCAGGTTGCAATATCGCGTGGATTGAACGGTATCGGGCTGGCCATCGTGACTCCGGCCATCCAGTCCCTTGTGGCCGACTCCACCGACGACACCAACCGCGGGACTGCCTTCGGCTGGCTCCAACTCACCGGAAACCTCGGCTCCATCATTGGCGGCCTCATCTCCGTCCTCCTCGCCTCCACCTCCTTCCTGGGCGTGCCAGGCTGGCGCCTCGCCTTTCACCTCGTCGGCCTACTCAGCGTCTTCATCGGCATTCTCGTCTGCCTCTTTGCCACCGACCCCCGAGCATTTGATAATCTCACCCACCAACCCCCTAAAACCTTTCGTGACGAGGTTAGGGATTTGATGAAGGAGGCAAGGGACGTGATCCGCGTGCCCACTTTCCAAATACTGGTGGCCCAGGGCGTGTCGGGATCCTTCCCTTGGTCCTCCATGTCCTTTGTGCCCATGTGGCTGGAGCTGATGGGCTTCTCGCATGGGACCACGGCCGTTATTCTCACTGTGTTCAGCGTGGCCGGTTCATTGGGAGGCTTGTTTGGTGGGAAGATGGGGGATGTGCTGGCCGTGCAGCTGCCCAATGCCGGGAGGATTATTATGTCTCAGGTGAGCTCGGGATCGGCCATCCCGCTCGCGGCCATTTTGTTGCTAGGATTGCCAGATGACCCATCAACCGCGTGGGCCCATGGGTTCGTGTTCTTCGTGCTGGGGCTCTTCGCGTCGTGGAATGCGCCGGCTACAAACAAGTAGGTGCTTTTTTTCTGAATTTTTATTTTTTTTTTTATTTATTTTTTTTTTGGCAAATGTGGGCAAAAATGCATTTTTAGTTCTGTTGGTTATCGTCATAGCAATTTTAGTTATACCGTTTCTATTTTTCGCCTTTTTGGTCCTGTGATTTGATATTTTGCTGCAATTTCATTCCTTTGAGGACTGTTAATGCAATACGATTTTAAATTATAGGATTAAAATTGCAACAAAATTATAAACTACATGACTTAATTAATGGCTAATCGAAAATTTGTGAATTTCAGAATTTGTTGCAATTTCAGTCCTTAGAGGATTGAAATTGTAATTGCAACAAAATATTAAATCACATAACCAAAAAAGGCGAAATGTTGCAACCGTTGGATTAAAATTGCTATGGCGTTTAAATCAAGACTAAAAATTCAATTTTGCCGCAAATGTGCTTAATGAAACTTAAAATATGTTGCTTTTTTAACTTGTATATTCGTCATGTGACATTACACTTACCAGTTCTCACACATGCGTGCAGCCCGATATTTGCAGAGATAGTCCCCAAGCGGGCCCGGACGAGCATCTACGCCCTGGACAGGTCGTTCGAGTCCATACTGGCCTCGTTCGCACCCCCAGTCGTCGGGTTTTTGGCCCAGCACGCGTATGGGTTCAAACCCCCTTCCAAAGACTCGGACGGCTCGAAAAGAATTGATACCGATCGAGAAAACGCAAAGTCGCTCGGGAAAGCTCTCTACACGGCGATTGGCATACCCATGGCAATTTGCTGTGTTTTCTACTCTTTTCTCTACTGCACGTACCCTCAGGACAGGGATAGAGCAAAAATGGACGCTCTGATCGAGTCCGAAATGCGAGAGATCGAAAGCAATGGCTCGGATTTAGTGCTAGGGTCTTACGGAAAGGAAGAAAGTACTGCGATAGATATGGACTATAATGAGAGGGACAATTTTCATGAGAATGACAAGCGGAGGTTGCTTTCTCGTGAGCTTACATCATCGGATGCAAGTAAATTGTAGTATATTCGAGGTGTTCGAAGGTACATTATATTATACGGAGAATTCAAAACTTATATAAGGGAAGTAAAAGCAATTGGATTTGGCTAAATGGCATTTGTATACGGGCTTCTTTCTTTTTTTTTTTTCTTTCTATTTTTTTCTTTAAACTTAACCACAGGCTTCGGAGAGGGGTGTTTGTAGTTTACAGTTGATACAAATTTTGTTATTTTATTTTTATTTTTTTGTCATCAGCTTTCTCCTCTTTTGGTGAAGTGAATGTTTCTTGCTAAATACTACTACTATTTACTGATGTTTCAAAAATGTTATACAGTTTGGCTTACAATGTTTTAGTTGTCAGCCATAAGATGGTCGTTAATGTCCACTTGAGTGAGACAAAAAAGGAGTAAGAAGTTTGATGTAGATAGAAGATGCTGCCCAAAAAGAGCTTTGAGTTTTGACTACGATCCTATGGCTTTATTAGTGCTGTTGAATTAAAGGAGTCTGGTTCGGTTCAGCTCGAATTCGAGACCTTAACGAGTCGAGATCGAGCTTGATTTGTTAACCAGTCAAGCTTGGTTGGACTCGATATGGCTAGTTAAGGCTCGAAAATATAATTTGTTTACGGCTTGGCCCTAAATGCGCTCCTCATTTAAAGCTTGATTTGTCAATTGCGTATATGAATGATCGGGCTTTTTTTTGGGGGGTTGGTTTTAAAACGTTGGTTCAATTAAAGACAGCACGAAGTCGATAGTCCGTAAAAAAAAAAAATAAATAAATAAAAACTAGTACAGACGCAAACTAAATAAAAACATAACAAACTAATACGATAAAACACTTCAATATTAGAGACTATACAACAAAATAAAAAGAAAAAAAAAAATCACAAGATAAAGGAATACGCAATATAAGAATAAATAAATAAATTAAAATAAAGTATCTCACTCCTTCAATGCAGCTTGAGGCCATCTCCAGCCATTATCTCTACTCTAGTGCGGACATTACTCTACTCTAGAGTAGAGTTGAACATTCATCTCCAACCTTTATCTTTACATTTTACTTTACATTAAATATATTATTTATTTATTTATTTTTTACATTAAATATATTATTACTTTACATTTTACCCTAGACCATATATGGTCTAGGGTGTAAATATTAAAAAAAATTATAGCGCGGATGAACAGTGTTGCGCCACACTGTTCATCTCTCTCAACTGGCGTTAAAATGTGGCGCTGCATTGGAGAAGAATATTAACACAACTCTGGCCATATACTCTACTCCAACGCAGGGTTGGAGTTGGTCTGAGAGTTTTGCGCTACTTGGAAGTCTTCTACAGTTCCTCTATATGTAGCGCAACACAATCCATTGCGGTGGACATTTTTTTTTTTTTCTTTTCTTTCTCTTTTTTTGACATAGAAATTGAGAGGTGTGTCTTGTTAATAAAAATATATTTAAGAATTTATTTTTGTAAAATAAATTTATAAAAGTGAATTTGGTATTAAATATAATTTAATTACTTTTTTTGGCATTAAATTTTAAAATAATGTGAATAAAATGAGAAAAAATTAGTACATTTAAAGAGTTCATTAAAATCAAAAGTTAAAATCTTGAAAAAAACCTATTGAAAGAACTAAAAGTGTTATTAGTTTGTGATATCTGCAATGTATGTCATTCTCTTTCTCTCAAAATGTGTTCTTGATCATTTTTAAAATAGACGGCGGTTATCTTGTATGGAATCTAAATCAATCATTAAGAACTTATTTTATTTTGTCCATGTGGTGGTCTCAACAAAATGTTTTCATATTTTTTTTTTTTTCCTTTTGAAATTCACTTTTTTGTCTTATCATCTCACTGTCGTGATCCTTATTTATTGATGAACTTATTACTATCTCTCTAAATTTTTTGTTTTCTTCATTCATTGTTTTGTAACTATAGATACGTCTTCTCTTCAATTTTGACTTTTTAATACCTAATGGTCATTGTGATGCGGACCACCACTAGCATTTTCATCACTTAAATAAAAGGTTCTTGATTAGGTGAAATTGAAGACTCGAGTTGTGCATCTTATTGCGTTTGAGATGAAAAAGTGTTTCGCCTAATTGATGTGCACTCGAACAATGCAGAACCTTTCATAATCATTCACACATGCTCGTACTTGAATGGTAGATCACTTTTATTTTTTGGGTTTTGCATTATATAGTATATTCGCACGCCCAATCTACATATCTAAATAAACAACATTAAAATATTTAGATAAATCTAATTAAGCATAAAATTTCTTGCGACATCATGTTCAGAAGCCCCACTAGTATTTACATTTTCAAATTTCTCCACATAAGGTTTGAAAAGTTTAATAGCAGTATTGATATTTCCCATGCGACGTTGGATTGATCTTTTTGGAAGATTTGACAACATTGAGTTGGGTGTTGTAGAATTATACTCGCTCATTACATAATCGAAATTGATCTCTACTTTAATATATATCCACCTCTAAATCCTGAGAAATTTAAGTATAGGAGCAAGAGAGGTGTTATCTTAATTCGTAATATAATTGGATCTCATGGGAAAAGTTTCTGCAAAAAAAAAAAAAATAATAATAATAATAATAATAATAATTGAATCCCATAGGAGAAGTTACTACAAGAAAATTATTTTAAAAAGGTGTCTTGTTATATCATATATGGGAGCTTTTGTTTTTTTTTTTATTTTTTTTTTTCTTTTAATAGTGGC